CATTGTGTAGGTATAGCTTACAAGTTTATAATTCTCTGCCATGAATTGCTTAGCTATTTTTGGGATCAGTCTCACTGTATTTCCCACCTGTAAAAAGCTACATGTATCCATATGCTCAGTCTCTTGCTTATATAATACTATACCTGTGCGCATGGCAGCTGAGAGTCTTGCACATGGGTTTCCTTGCAACTGTCATCACTCCTCGGATTATAGCATCGAAGTCCAACATTAGCTGGAAGGTGTTATGTTAAAGAAGGTTCACACGTGATACAAATTGTTCTTTCTTTCTTTTTCTTTCTTTTCTGCCGCCTTGAGCAATAAACTGTTGGGACATATTTTTTCTTGGTTGTTTTTTTGTTTGTTTGTTTGTTTCTCTCTCCTTTCAATTGAAGCACTGTACTGTATGTGGATCTGCTGGAAATCTGAAGACACATATCTTTAATGTCGTGGATGGAGAACCTCTGCACGCCTTTGTTGCATCCAAGATATCTATCTAGATCTAGATCTAGATATATTTCTGTGATGAACTGTTCTCCCAGGCTTCACCACACCGATGCCATATTTTTTCTACTCCTCAACATCTCTTTCAAAAAGTTATCAGCTGCTTTAAAGATCAAAAGGCTCTCGAAACCGGTTCAATTCCTGCTAGCTCCGTGGACAGATCCGTGCTACTCTCCTCTTTTAGTTTCTTCCGCCGTCCTGAGCCAAATGCAGCAGATCTCTGAAGGCAGGGCTGCTTCTGCCTTATCCTCGGAATCTCTTTCATTCCCTCCCGCAAAAAAAAAAAAAAAAAAAAAAAAAAAAAGCAGCAGCCTCCAAATTGCGCACACCACAGAGGGAGGGAGAAGCGAGTGGGATCCGACGGATCCACCAATAGGGAGACGCTTTTGAGAGCGGGGGCGTGGCTAGCAGGCTCCGGTAGGTCCGTCGGGCTGTTTCCCAAAGCGAGCAGCATTGCCGCTCTGCAGGTGGCGAAGGCTCGGCTCGGAGCTCGCCGCGGCTCTTCGGGGTTGTCAAGCGCGCCAAAGCGCTCCGCAGACCTGGTTCCTTCGCGTTCCTGCATCGGGTCTACTTCGCAGCACTTTTCCTCAGGAAAGCGGGGAAACGTGGGATTGGGTGTCGGGCCACCAACAGCTCGCAGGTGAGCCGCCTCACTTCCGCGCCTTATATTTTTAGCGGTCTCAGCGGCTGAAAAAGGGAAAGTGGCGGGGGGGGGAAGCGAAAGGGATTTGAGGAGATTCCGTGCGTCTTTGCCGGAGCGGGCTAAGGATGCGCCGGAGAAAACGCTGTCCTGTCCTTGGCTCGAGGTCAGAGGGAAAGGACTCTGCCCTGATGGGCTGCTGCCCCGCCGGGCTGTCTTCGCAAGAATAGTAACCGTTCCTCCACGGAGTTAAATGCCCAGCCGCCGTTTCTGCTTGAGCGCCCGGAGATCCGCCTCGTGCCAGTTTTCCCCACCGGGATCCTCGGAAGGTTTGGCCTCTTTTGCGCTGAAACACTCACACCTCCCCCCTCCCCGGTCAATCTCTCTCCCGCCCTTCCCCGATCCGCTCTTTACAGGGTCACTCTGTGTGTGCGTAACCCTTAGGAAGGACTGATTTCCCCCACCCATCCCTTTTCGGCAGCAGCAGCAGCCGCCTGCCGGCCTGGAGGATTTTTATTACCTCTTGTAGCTTCGGTTCGACCACCCATCACATTAGGGACCTGTCCCCTGTCTCTGATTTCTCTCCTCTCTTCCCGGATTCCTAAGAGAAAGGGAGCCCTGCGGATCGGGAGTTAACAGCTAACGAACTTCGCTCCCCCCCCACCCCCCAAATTCTTAATTTTGCCAGTCCCTATATAGAAACCAATTGAAGGCACAACTTTTGCGGTGTGTGTGTGTGAGTGAGAGAGAGAGATTGATCCTTAAATCAAGGCAGAAAAATGAAGATCCTTAAGTTCAGGTAAAAGGACAAGGATCCTTCCCGTTTTCCTTTTTATGCTTTCTTCTACAGATCAGACCCCAAATAATACCATTCCCCCCCCCAAACAAGTGGGAAACCTGCTTGTTGCTTGTCTTTTCCAAAACAAAATCCGTACTGCATAGAGTATGCAACATTACAATATAAGAAATACTGTACAATATAAGAAATGTGTAGGTAGCTAAAAATTATTAAGAGTGTCAGCTTCCTCTTTATCCCATCTGTCTCTCCTCCCCCCACCCCCATTGTTCTACCTCTTTTTCTTGTATCTTGAACTCATGTGCTCATAGGAGAACTATGAACCTTTCTCTTTTTCTCTTATCAGACTATGTAAGGGGCAGAAAAAGCTAACCCATATAACCTGAAGTCCAGGTTACACGTTGTAATTTTAACACTCCCATTAAAAGCATAGGGCTACTTTTATCTCCCAGCAGTGTTTAATCTTTGGGTTTGTCTCTCTGAGAATGGTTTTACAGGGAGAGATTGGTACTGCCTCAAATATACAGCAGCTGCAATATTACAGTGCAATATCACGGAGACCAGTGGGGAAAACACGTAACAGATACTGCAGGGAGAATGGAAAGACAACACAAATAGGGAAAATAACTTTAATAAACAATCATCTATGTAATGTTGCTAGTTTTACTTGTTAGTAGAAAGTAGAATATATATTTTTTTAAATGACTTCATAATAAATATTCTGTAGTATTTATAATAATGAGGGGATTGATTGACTATGATTAACAACAAAGCTGTAACATCTGTATAGACCAATTTTTTTTCTAACTATAAAATATTTTTACCAGTTTACATTTTCCCAAGTATGATGATAATCCTTTAAAAAACTTCCGACTTTTCAGGATGAAGAAGATTGATGTTGTCTTTGCATGCTTCCCTTGTCTTGTAATATTTACTATACTACACTGTAGTATTCTATGATAGCTTTTCCTCTTACATTATTCAATTTAAATAATTTATTTTCAGTAAATGAACCATAAGAGCTAAGTTTTTTGATGATGCTTATAAATATGCACATATGCATCCTTCCCATGAAGCTTTATGAATCAATTTAAATAATGAACTTTTTCCCCTCCAAATTTTTAATCAACACTTTCACATTCAAGGAAACAGTAAAGAAATTAAAATAAAGGGAATAACCACTATATATTACATTTACCCTTAAACAACCCCCTTTTCTTAATTGTTTCCTCATTTCATCATGCCTGTTATAAATAAGAATCAAAATAAGAACACATTGGGTAAATATTAACTAACAAACAGCAATTTCCCTGCCCTTTGCTGGGAGAGAACATAAACTCTCAAGAACCTGCTTTATCTTCAAGAGTAATTAAAATTCTTTTTTTAGTCAGCTCACTTCAAGCTCTTTTAAAGGTTGACCTTTTTCCAATAAGGTTTATCTTTCTTTCTGCTGAATGTAGTTGTTTCACACATCACTTGCGCTTTCCCTGCGGTTCAGTGACATTGTAGGACCTTATGCTTAAACTAATTGCTGATTGTCCAAGCTGTTGCTACGGTAGGATGATGAAACTTTGGGTTCTAATCACATTTGGGCTGTTGCATTTCATTGGATAATAGAAACAAGGGGGCTAGCAAGTAAGAAGTTGACTGGGCAATTTAATTTCAGACATAGAATGGGATGAGTTGGGATCCTGCCATTTCTAAAGGGCAAAATCCAGATTGGATAGGGGTTATAGTGCATTATTGATGACTAATGCTCAGCGTATAAACATAAAGGCTGCATCAGCAAATTCAAGGTACTATATGTTTTGCAAGGATCAGGAAAGTTCTGGAGATTTCACAAACAACTGATTGCAGTTATGTACACTGTTGAATTTGCAATATGAAATTAGATACCAATTGCAATTAATGGGAACAGTTTGTTCATTCTGTTTCTGAAGCATTAAGAATATGAACTCTGATACGTTTTGCAAGGTTCATTTTCTTATCATTCTTCCAATGTGGGGTGAGGGGTGGGAATTGTATCCACAAAGAACTGTCCTCATACCCATTTAGCCCTTTTAATTTTCTATGGGTGGTCTTATTTAACTGTCACATGTAGTACCTTATTCTTCTGAGAAGCTCATAGTGGAATTTTAGGGCTGGCCTACTTTACTGTTGGAAGAGCCTAGGGAGATTACTTAGGTTGAAAGAACAGAACTCTCAGGTTCACCAGATAAAGGCTATTACTGCTAGCTCTCTCTGTTTATGCTGTAATACTGATGAAATGGGCTTTTTCGACCAGATCGTAACTCTGTTCTGCACTTGCTGTAGTTAGGCTTATTAAAAGTCTCCCATAGGAAACAACTATGAGTGACTTTTTTGAACTTAAATTCTGCTACAAGATAGGGAGGACAGAGGAACTGAGAAATGGACTGGGAAATCTATGATTAATGTGTACAAATATTTAGAAGTGAGGGCTTTTTTGTGTGTGAGAATCAGTTTTTGATTCCTGATGACTGCTTGGACAAGCCTCTATGGATTTCTTGGCAATTTTTTTTTGAAGTGGTTTGCAGTTGCTTCTTCCCTAGGGGTGAGAGAAAGTAACTGGCCCAAGATTACCCAGTCAGCTTCATGCCTGAGACTAGAACTCACAGTCGCCCAGTTTTTAGCCTGATACCATGACCATACCTTTTAAAAAAATTAATAGAGGGACAATTATGATGCAGGATTGTTTATTGGTTTAATGGCTGTTTTAAACCACCCAAGGTTGCTTAAGATGGGTGGCCCTATACATCTTTTAAATAAATAAGTAAGGCAATACACCAAGCTGGCTTTCTGTATAGAGGTGTACTTAATAATTTAAATTATGGCCTCTTTCAGTTCTTAAACCTCTTTTGACAACAACAGGACTCTATTGACAAAGTGAACATCTTAGAAAAATCAAGGATTATGTGTCATGCAGTGGTCAATCAGGAAACTCACAACTATGAAAAAGAGGGCGATAGCCCTCTCCTTGTGCTCCTTATCAGCTTGTCATGAGGTCTGTTGAAACAGAGGATTTGCTTGAAAGAAGCAGTGCAATTAGAATTCTGTTTTTTTTCTCCCATTTTATTCAATTAGCTGATAAATCACAGCAAAGTTAGTTTCATTTCCTCAGCCCCAAGACTTGCAAGGATGCTTTGCTTCTTTTTCTTGCATCACCAATTTTTCTTCTTCTTTAATAAAATAGAATTTCAAAAATGAAAATTAGATATTTTTTTCTTGAACTCCACAATCTTTCTGTTCTGCTCAGGTTGAATCATCTGTGCATGCAGATTATGATATAGATTTACCATATATATGCACTCTTCTAACTACACCCCTACCAATGATATAGAATTAACATACTGTAAAGTGTTGCAGAGTAAAGTGTGGGCAGGCGGTGGACAGTATTATAACTGTACCCCTACCTATTCTTCTTCTTAATTGAGAATTAATGGCAGTAACCTTTCTTTCTTTCCAAGTCAGATGAAGTGGCAGCTGGGATTGCTATAGCTAATGATTGTTTGGCAAGTAAAACTTTTGATTTTCTTACACCAGCTAAGGTTCTCTGCAATCAGTAGATTAGGTCCTGCAACAGTTTTCTCTGGCACTCTTCTCCCAAATTGTGCTCTCAAATGCATTGTGGATCTTCAGACCACTCCTTCAGCAGTGCAAACACTGCCTAATGCATTTTAGGATCAATACCCACTTTTTCTCTGGATTGAAACCAATAGTCCATTTTCAGGAGGCTACTAGAGCTAAATCTATTGACACCATTGTCTCCACTTCCTAGAGTTTAAATCTCTACCTGTAATGTCAGCAAAGCATCTGATGCTGATACCAGCCCATCTGTCTTCCTTTCCTTCTTATTAAAATTATGTCCTATGGAAATGTCTCAACAAAGAATTCAAACTGTTTTGGGTGTCTGTATGGAAATGTGAAGAGCCACAAGAAGCCATGTCTGAAACCAGGCTCATCACGCAGTGAGTTTTTAAAGTACGTTGCCATCCACTTCATATCTAATTGCAGCATATTCTACACTTTAATTATGTATTATTTAAGTAAGTTTTTTAAAAAATTCACTACTTAGTTCCTCATATTTAGTTTTAGTTCCCCAGTTCTAACAAAGAGAGGAAGAAAGACTTGCCTCTACAGACCTTTTCAATACTGTGCGTGAAATATTTATTTTTAGATGGATCTTTCCAAATACATCCTGGAAGGGTGCAGTCAGACCGTTGCAGAGTAAAGTGGTCAGGCTGTTTTCTGGCTTCCTTTCCTTTCAGATTGCAGCCTAAGCAAGGAAGTCAAGGTATAATGATGATGGCGGCCTTCCATCCTCTTCAGTGCAAGATAGTTTTCTGTTAAGGCATCTGGAAAGTGCTGCCCTGACATATATTGTAGAGATTTCATTTTTAAAAAAGTGGGGGTGGTGGTGTTTCTTGCTGGTTTTTTCCTACCAGGCTATTCTGTGGCATGGTAGACTAGGACTGGAGTGGCTGTGATCGACTCTATAGGAATATCATCTTACTGACCAAATGTTCTATTTGGTAGTCTGCCAATTCTGAGTGCATGACGCTGCATTTGGATGGATGACACAGTATAGAAATATTGTTAATGTACAGTACTGTTCACTTATCTGCCTCACTGTCATCTTTACTGAGCTAGCTAGGGTGATCTTGGTTATGTTCTTTGTTCTAGAAGATTTCAGGATGCACATTATGCCTTCTGAAATAGAAGTGGCTCAGGATTTCATGTCTTCTATTATCATCATACACCTGTCCCAACTATTATTTGACTCCCCACATAGCAGAACATATGTTAGATTTCATTTTCTGCAGCTGGAATTGGTTCTCATTTGAGAGAGACAAGTTGCTCCTTGCTCACGTTAGATTGATGGTTGATATAAACTTTTGTTTCAGTAGATGACCCATTAACAGGGATCAGTCCAGATGCTAATGGATGTGAATGGCTTCATGAAAGCATTTGGATAATTTCTTATATTATATGTCAGGAAATTAATGAACTGGCTGATCTGTTGAAAATAGAAATGACTGGGCAACTGAACCTATTGCTCTAAGTATCCTCTTTCTTGACTCAGAAGCTTATTGGTTTCCTATGGTGGGAGCTGAGAGTGATGACGGGATAGGATGTCAGTTAGACCATAAGTGGAAGAATTCCAGTGACAAATCAGGTTGAGTCTGAATCTGGCCAGTCTGAAGACTGAAGATTTTTCTGCAACAAAAGCAGCTCAGAATGTTTTTCCACTGCTTCTACTGCATCAGCACAGAACAGGCTTTCTTCCATCAAGATATTAGTGGAATGGAGCCAGAAGAATTAATAATTTGATTGATTCTTAGTACACAAAGCCAATGGCATCATTACTGACATGGGCCCAAGTGTTAATATTGGCAATATTAATCCTATTATTTGGGGTTCTCTTTGGCTTGTGGTTAGATGAGGGCTATCATCTGCTTATTTGACTTCTAACTGTCCTGCTAGATTAAGTAGCAATAGCATTTAGACTTATATGCCGCTTCACAGTGCTTTACAGCCCTCTCTAAGTGGTTTTACAGAGTCAGCCTATTGCCTCCAACAATCTGGATCCTCATTAAACCAACCTCAGAAGGATGGAAGGCTGAGTCAACCTTGAGCAGAATTAACCTGCAATACTGCATTCTAACCACTGTGCCACCACGGCTCTTCTCCAAATTGAGTAACATAGGAGTTCCCGCTGGTTAAGGGTACTTTTTGTTGGAGGGACTTGTGTTTCTGTCTGCCCAAAGGAGACAGTAACCAGACCTAGGAAATCTGTGCAATTATAAGGTAATTTCAATCATGCCATTTTTAGGAAATGTAAATGAGAAGGTGGTGACTTTGCAACCCACATTCAAATGTTTCTGATTTTCTGAATTTCCACTGAGGTATGGTACCAGCTCTGCTCTGGATACCCTGGTGGATGGCAGTGCCAGAAAGTGGCTGTGTGGTAAGGGGACCCAGACCCTGTTACTTTCTTGGAACTCTTAACACAGGGGTGTCAAGCTTGCGGCATCATGTAGTCGTCATGTGATGTATCGCAACTTTTCCCTCCTTCGCTAAACTGGGGGTGGGCATGGCCAGCATGAGACGCATCTGGCCCATGGGCCGCGAGTTTGACAGCCCTGTCTTAACAGCTTATTATACTATCAGTCATGGTATAATTCTGGAACACCTGAAGTCATTGGGTATGCAGGCCTTATTTTACAGTGCTTCTAATCCTTTATACTCAAAGAAGATACTGGGGGACTGCTATCTGACACATAGGCCATTGTCCCCTGAGGTTTACTTTTCATTCTTTGTGGACTTCCACATCTTCATGAAATCTCTTGGATTACCTGGAATTTTGGAGTCAGGACTCTTATCCTGATGACAGTTGGCTATTTTACTCTTTATCATTGAGCTCCAAGTTCTCAAGATTCCGAAATGCACTGGGTGAGAGAGAAAGGAATAAAAATAATTCAGACAAAATTGTCTAATATGAATCTGGACTTGGAGATTATATTTAGACAGAGTTGTGTTCCTCTTGAAAGAGCAAGTTCAGCTTTCTGAATCATCGGTTGTCACTGGATTTACTGGCTGTTTGGTAGGACATGCCTTTACCCAATTACTCTTACAGGTTTGCTACCAGTGACCCCTTTTTAAGTTGCTTGGATTGGGTGATAATTACCCACACTTTAGTTATATCGTGTTAAACTATTATTTTATTAAGGAAAAATGTTTGAAAGTTGCATTCAGTGCAAAAAATGCTACGCTGCTAACAATGCAAAGTACAGGGATCATATATGATCCTTGTGCTGAAAGATCCACAGTGATTTCTCATTGAGCAATTCAGAGTGTTGGTATTGATCTCAAGTAAATTTATTCGATACATTCATGTCCTGCCTTTCCTTTAGGGATCAAAATGGAATTCATAATTTCCCAAGTTTTTCCCTCACTAACTCACTAAAATGGCAAGGTTGAGGGGAGGATTTGAACCAGGGTCCTTGTCCAGTTCCTTAACCACTGTAGCAGAATAACTCTTTTTAAAACGCTGAATTGCTTGGAGCGTGACTAACTAAGGGACAGTCTCTTCTACCAAGGAACTGTCTGACTAGAAAGGCCCTTTAAAGATACCTCTGCCCTTAGAGGTCTCTTATTTTGACAGGAAAAAAAGTATTTTCACCTTCTGGGCTAAGAAACACAAACCTTCAGGTATTTGGTCTCATTTTCTCAATTTTAGCTATTAATCGTTAAATTACTTAAATATATATTTTACTGTTTGTTTATTGTACTATATTTTAAACTATCTTTATTTATTTTTTTGTTAAATTATGTTAAATGCCTTGAAATGTAGAGTATATATTATATGAATGAAGTTGTTTATTTTTTTGTAATAATACATTTCTTTAAGAAATTTGAGTCAGGATCTATACTGCAAAATTTGGAAAATATGAATAATAACCATTCTACATGATAAACTGGGAAATTCAAATTAGATAACTGTCCTTTAAAAGGTAGGCCAGATGAAAATGTAAAAATAATTAAGTATGTTTGCAGCTTTTACCTTTCTGGAATATTGCCTCTAGAAAGTGGCTTGTTGGGGAATATAATTCTCTAGTTCAAGCTCTTCAAGCGCTATATAGCTAAGACACCTTATCTTGCATTGTGCCCAAATACCTGTAATTTCACAAACAAAGCATATTTCACATCTAACTGCAGAGTTTACACATCTCAACAATTCTTAGAAGTCTCTTAATAGAAAACTCTCATTTCATGGGATTATGAAGATCCATATATAAAACTTCTTAAACTTCATAGGATCAGTTATATGGGAAACGATTCGCTAGTGCTGATCGTTCTATTTTAAGTATTGCGGTGGTTCCTGCAGCTTTATGTATGCAATGCTTTTCATTGCCAAAATACTTAAAATACTTGATAGTAGGCTAAAAATAGCTACATTATTTGCTCTGGAAATACTGTTGCCACATATGCTCATCCCTGAAAACCAAATACACCCGATTATAACAGTATCTTCACAAAAATCCTTTTATGAAAAAAGGAAGGATGGAATTAGCAGTTTAGTAATCATAGTGATTTTAATTTGAAATTATTATTGTGCATTTCAGAAAGTTTGAACTCCTGTTTTGTTTTTAGTGCACTTTAAATGAGGGTTAAGCAGTACTGTTTTTCAGAAACTCGGCAGAAGAACTTTAGCCTAAATCAGCAGATGTTAGCACTGAATTATTTTAATAGCAGTGATCTGAAGATTAAAGGTTTAGAGTTACATAACTAAAGATGAACAGAATTGCTGTGACATTAGTAAAATAAAAAATTATAACTGTCATTTTGAGCTTTATGTTAGAATATAAATTTCATTTTTTAATTATATAATGGCTTGATTCCTTTCTTTCAAAGTACAATTTTAAATACGTTTTAGAGCATCAAAATTCATTAAAGATTTAGATGTACCTCTGAATTTTTTTTTGCCTAATTGTTAGATTACGTGCCTCAAATCTGTAAAAACTTTCCATTTGTCTTTCTCTTTGTAAATTTATCTGAAAGATTGAGGCAGGTTCATATGTACTTACTTTGGAATTCCTTTCATTGATTTCATTATTAAATAAACATGGTCCATGTTAGAATTCCTACAAAGGTTCCTTTTGGCATTTTGTTACAGATATTATTCTTCTGATGAGAGATTCATTTTTGAAACAGTGTAGTCACATGCATATGAGACTATCAATTTCAGGATAGGAAATGTTAGGCAAAGAATAGAAAAAATAGTAAGTAAAAGAAGTTACAGTCATGGATAGCAGAAAGGGAAATATAGAGAAATCTGGTACACATTAGTGCCATTCACTATCCTACCCACCAGCCTTCTGTCCTTGCAAATAAGCTATGATTCTATAAGCAATAAGCTTTGATTCAACATCTCTATACTAATTCAAACATTGGCTCTTGTTTTTCTGAATTTATATAATTTTTTTTGAAAATCTCAAAAATTTACTGAAGCCAACATGCAAAAATAGTTTTAAAATCCCATGATCAGTTTATGTTCACTTTTCTCATTTATAATTTGGATAAAATATGAGTCATAGTATTCTAAAAAAAATTGAAAGCATTTTTATGCTTCCTCTACCTGCATTGAGAAATACTTTGATAAACGTAGCCCTAATATGAAGTGGGTAACGTACTGCTTCTCTGAGCATCAATTAAGCTGAAATATAAGTGATGGATCTTGGGCAGTTAGGCCTGCAATCCAATAATAGACATTTTGCAAAAGATGGAATGTGGGTTGATTTAAAGATTTGCTGTAAAAATAGAATATCTGCTATGCTCCAAAATATTCACAGCTAACTGGATGCCTGAAGAATTGTAATTTCAATGTCTGCTGAAGACGTAATTGTCCCTTAAATTACTGCATGGAGCTGAACTGACATTTCTAGCTTCATAACCTCTGTCAAACTCAAATGGAGAGGGTAAGAATTGACAGCACATTAACAAACAGCACCAAGAAAATGGTGTGTCTATATACTTCCCTTTTTGACAAAGGAACAAAAATATGTTGGCGATAATTCTAGGACATGGAATTATATAGTAATTGGAAGGTGTTTTCATTAAGTCAAAACTGCTTCATTATCAGAATTTATTTGAAGAACTTGTGGGGAGAAGCTCTAGGGAGAGATGTGATTGGTAAAATGAATTCTGTATTGCCTGTTCACACAGTCTTTTGTGATAAATTCATACTATTCTACGTAATGTGACCCCAAATTTATTTATTTATTTATTAATGGAACTTGTATGCCGCCCTATCTCCAATAGACTCGGGGCGGCTCACCATTAAAACAAAGCAAACAAACCATTAAAATAAAAAATCCAGGTTAAAATTAACAAAAATTCAATAAAACCAGTTAAAATTCTATTAAAACCCCCATCAGTCCAGGGCGGCCAGGTGAAATAGCCACGTTTTCAGGCCACCACGGAAAGAGCGAAGGTCGGGGGCCACCCGGAGCTCCAGTGGGAGTTGATTCCAAAGTGTGGGTGCGCCCACAGAGAAAGCTCTCTCGCTGGGGGTAGAAGGCCGACACTGTCTCGCCGATGGCACCCTGAGTAGGCCCTCCCTGTGGGAACGCACAGGGCGATGGGAAGCTGTTGCTGGCTGCAGATGGTCCGCCAAATATCCCGGGCCTAAGCCATGTAGGGCTTTATAGGTAATCACCATCAAATGGTTAGTACTATGCATGGTGACTTAAATTTTATCTTTATCCTTATATTTCCTAACTAGTTCAATCAATCAATCAATCAGAATAGAGCTGGAAGGGACCTTGGAGGTCTTCTAGTCCAAGATCCTGCTCAAATAGGAGACCCTATACTATTTCAGACAAGTGACTGCCCAGTCACTTTTTAAAAACCTCCAATGATAAAGCACCCACAACTTCTGACGGCAAGCTGTTTCACTGCATAATTGTTCTCACTGTTAGGAAGCTTCTCCTTAATTCCGGGTTGCTTCTCTCCTTGATTAGTTTCCATCCATTGTTTCTTATCCTGCCTTCTGGTGCTTTGGAAAATAAACCCCCTCCTCTTTGCGGCATCCCCTCAAATACTGGAATACTCTCAAATACTAGTTTCAAGGAACTAGTATCAAAGTTTATTCATCAGGCTATTCAAATGCACAACTGCATTAAAAAGTTATTCCCCCCCTCTACTTTTTTTGTGTTTGACACTGCAGGTATATTAAAATCCAAATGCAATTTAAGAAGTATAGATTTTCTGTTGTATTTTTGTTCTATACATTATTGCATAGCATGCATAGCATATGACATTATGAATACATTAAAGTATTTATTCTTGTTTAATCCATAGTAAAATCGTGATTTTTGTGTAGCAACATCAGAGGAGAAAATTTGTCACAATATTAGAGAGAACTTTGTGAGTTATCAAAGACAGATGGCATCCTGCCAGGCTTATGTCTATAAGTCCAATTGGACAATGTTGAAAATTCAAATGTTCTTTTGTGTAGTTGAGAGCTGTTGTAATTTTAATCAGTGACTTGTCAGGAAAATAACTTCAAGCATCATGTTTCTGCTTTTAATGACTTCTCTCATGGGAAGATATCTGTAACTGGTTCTCCTCTCATATCATTTGGTCATTCTTGTTGTACAATAGCATTTATCCTGACCCTAGCTGTAATTCTTGCATGAATATTTAAAGTAGCTGTTTAGAATAGGCGAAGAAAATAAAAACTGAGGTCCAGAGGAAGAAGTGCTGGTGACAGCTTGGGGAGGTAGAGAAATATTCTGTATTTTGTACGATAGGTAACCATATCCGGGGCACCAAACTCTCTTTACAAGGCTGCCACAGGAAAAATAGCCACAAGACAATGTGCATGATTGTTAATATTTTAGACAGTTAATTGGTTCGTTAGATTTATATCCTCCAGAAGCTAACGATAGTGGGGGTACATGGGGATCTCCTTGCATTTTTAGCCCAACAGCAGTCCTTTGAGATAGGTTGGACTGAGAGAAATTAGGGAGATGGACCAAAACTATTGTACCATACTGGTTCTCCGATGATTGCTTATCTATCTTTCGGCATATGATTTTCTTTTGGTTCTAAGTGAAAATATTACACTGGGGCTTCATTTATAGGATTCCTCAAGTCATTTCTTACATGTTTCTGAATTGTATACATATAGCCATTATATTTACTGAATTTTCTGGTCTACCTGCTCATGCTGAACAAGCTGAAATATATCCAGAAAATTTGTTCTCTAATCCCATTAGACTGTTTAGGGTTCCTTCAAAATCCTGTGTGGATTTAAGTATTTAAGTATTTCCTAAACACATAGGTAACTTGTGTTTTGTTCAGGGGCAGAAAATATAAATCACCATCACAGTATAGTCTGAAGTCTTTGTGCTTCCTCTGTTTTTCCATCTACTGTACCCAATAATTTTACTACTTCCACAGAATCAAGGGGCTTAAATAAGTCATAATATGTTCATTGCTCAGGACTTTTCTTGATTCCTAAGAACCTTAGTCATCCTTTCTCGAGATTTTGATCACTTCCCCCTATTTTAGAGGATTTGAGGAATGGAATCAGCTGATGTTTTTACACTTCACTTTTTGATGATCTCAAATCCAGAAAGAGCAGTATGTTTCCTTGTTGCATACAATGCAGCAAGAAATTATTTAAAACACCATACATGTACAGTATACACATACAGGTATATTCCATAACTGGATAATATATGTTTGTAATGAGATTTCTCAATGCACGCAATGTAATGAGATCTACAGTCAATCAAAACTTAATTTTTCTAATTCTGTTTTTTCCCTTTTCAAACCTCTATGGGATGGTCTTTTTCTGAATCCTAGAATATTCTTAATCTTACACTTGTTTGAGCTAATTGTAGGATATAATTCTGTTTGCTAAAAAAAAAAAAAAATCCCCACAGAGTAGTCATCACTGTAGTATTTCTGGAAATGTTTTTCCATGCCCATTGCCCATAAGATCTGTGAAAAAATTCATAATAAACTATTGCATTCAAGTATTTTACAAAGAAAAGAATTGGTTTTTTTCTTTTCCTGGTAAATCTTTCCTTTCTTGGAGATAAAAGAACATAGTTTCTCTTATCTGGAAATAGATGTTCCATTATTACATTGTATTTATAAAATAC